GACATTAGGGTTATTAGGGCTTAGGGTTTAGGGTTTAGGGTTCAGGGTTGAGTGTTGAGGGTTGTGGTGCAAGCTGCAGGCTAAAGAACTTTTAGGGCTTTGAGGGCATCTGTTCGGTTTGTGGCTTCTTTCTTCGGGTGACTTGGTTTCTCCCTTGAACCTTAAACCCTCAACCCGGAACCTTGGCATGTTCACCCTTATACTAGCAGTCCTTAATAGGGATTCCAGTACACCAACTAGACATCCTGATTAAGGACCATTAGCATAAGGGGGAACCGCCCAACCTAAACGGTCAAACCCTGGGCTTACCCTACATAACCGGCGGCCCCCGAAGAGCTTCGCAAGGTGTTATCTCAGCCCTGAAATGGCTTCGGAACATAACTACTAAACCTTCAACCCTAAACCTTAAACCCTAAACCCTAAATTGCAGTCTTCAGTCCAAAGGACCTCCTCGCTAAGAGAACTACTACTACTACTACTACTACTACTACTACTACTACTACTACTACTACTACTACTACTACTACTACTACTACTACTACTACTACTACTACTACTACTACTACTACTACTACTACTACTACTCCTGCTACTACTACGACTACTACCACTACTACTACTACTACTACTACTACTACTACTACTACTACTACTACTACTACTACTACTACTACTACTACTACTACTACTACTACTACTACTACTAGTAGAAGAACAAGAAGAACACGAAGAGCAAGAACAAGAATGTGCGGGGCAACAGCATATTACTATGAGAGTGAGTGAGTAAAAACAAACGGGCTTGCGAACGGTGCGAACGAATGAACGGCGAAAAAGACATGAGGCAAAAGCCTCGTTACAACATGATTACGGGCGCTTGCATTCTTTACCGCCGCTTTATCACTAGCTTAATGTGGGTTTTTTGGAGGCTTCGGAAGGTTAGACACGCGGCCCGAGGGTCGGCTCTTAGTGGCTTGGGAACAGAGGTTGGGTGTCAAGGTGTGAGAGGGAGAGCGGTTAAGCTGGCACACAGTTGTGAACTGTTAGACCAAGATATCATATGTATACTGGAGTTGCAGTCTTTATATCCTTACCAACTGGTACAAGGATCTCTGATGAATTGTTTTTTTGATATTGGAAATCCACCATTATTTCACCGTAGAATTAGTTCTTTCTTCTCACATCTCATTTTATCAATGTCTACTATAGGTGATTCTACAGTGATTTTTGGGTATGCTGCAGTACATCTAGAATCACGTGCCATAATTTCTATCTTCTCTGGATGGAGAACAAAATTGTGGGTACTAAGATGTTCTTTCAGTTCATCCTCTAGTATACTTTCTCTTTTTCATCTACGTGTAACATTTATTGGTATTCTTCCTAGCAATAAAGACCGATGAGGCTTTGCCCTCACCTGTCCACTCTTTTCGTATGTGCACTTGGGCTCGTTAAGTTTGGGCTGGCTTCGGCCACCCTCCGAATCGCCTTCAAGGATAGGGTTTAGGGTTTAGGGTTTAGGGTTTAGGGTTTAGGGTGTAGGGCTTAGGGTTTTGGGTTTTGGGGTTAGGGTTTAGGTTTGACTGTCGGAAACTGCCTACCATCACAGCCGAGTCTATCGACGCAACCTCAAGCTACCTCAAGCCTACAACTTAAACTCTAACAAACCCCAATCCTTAAACCCTAATAAGCCGTCAGCACGAAACCCTAGACCCCGGAGAAAAACCGTCAACCCAAATGCCCTAAACCCTAAACCCTAAACCCAAATAAGCCTTAAGCCCTATAACCCTGAGGTGGATCGCGCCCATGCGCTACAACGTGAACTTGGACAAGCGGAGCAGCGCGCGGCAACTCAGGTTTTTTTTGCCGATCCTGGAGGCCTTACAGAACTCATTGGGTCCTTAAGGCAGGGGGCTTCAAGGGGTATGTACTATATCCCCCTTGGGAATTCTCATTTTTTGTTTATATAAAGCCCAAGAGGATATCAACATTGTATGTTTATTAAGGTGCTAAGGGGAGTATAGTGTAACCCAGCTGTGGTTAGGCTCCGCGCCGCCCTCAGAAGCAGGAGTGGCTTGCGTCCATTGAGAAACCAGCTCCTTTGTGACGGCTCCAAGTCCATGTTGGGCCTTACACCCAAAACCCTAAGCTTCTAAACCCTAAACCCTAAACCCCTACCCCAACATGTCATCCATAAATCCCAATCCCTAAATCCTGCATTCGGGTTTAGGTGTTGGAAGTTTAGGGTTTATAGGTGCTTGCTTTGCTTTGCTGGCTCTGCTTTGGGCTTTCCTGTTGTTTCTTGAAGTCTTCTTCAGCTCGTATTTACCCGCAGTTCCCTGAAACCCTAAAATGTGAGGAGCCCTCAACGCTGCTTGTGTGTAAGAATGTTTCATAAAGGGCTTCGGGATTGGGTGTCTTAGGGTTTAGGGTGTAGGGTCTTGGAACCGTCTACAAAACAGTAGTCTTCGGGATTTTGAGGTGGTGCGTAGTTCAAGCGTGTTGGGCCTACACCCTAAACCCTTAAACCCTAAACCCTACAGGGTCTTCGATTTCTTGCGAGGTCTACTTCATCGCGGGTCTCATCAGCGGGGCGAGCAGGCATGCTTCAGCATCGTCAACCGAAGTCTAAACCCTAAGCTCTGAACGTTTAAACCCAACACCCCAAAAAAACCCTACAACCTCGAACCCTAAATCTCCAAAACCCTACGACCCTATACCCTAAAACCCTAAACCCGAACCTTGACCAGATGCATTGCACATGGAATCCTGCGAAGAATACACCCAGCTCTGCTTCACTTCGATTCGTGTGCATAGATCCCTAGGGTTCGAGGGCTTGTTGGGCTTACAGGGCTTAGGGTTTAAAGAGCTTTAAGGGTTTAAGTGGTGTTAATGGCTTACAGCGGTTTAGTAGTTTAGGGTCCATCTCCCTGCAAGGCTGTCGTGGAACAACGACACGCCGGCGGTGACGAAGCAAAATTAAGTACATACATGCAGGGCTGCGCGTTCAGCGTTTAGCTGCACCCTTCGGCACCTGTTCACAAGAATAACGATGCACTTCTAGAATGGGCTACTGCTACTTAGGGTAGTGCAAAGAGTACTTGGGGGTCTAGGTACAAGGATGGGCTATTGGGCCTCATATTTCCCATTATAAAACCGATGAAAGGGCCTTTGTAAGGGGTTGTAGGGTATAAAAAGACGGGGGTGGCAGAGTTTAGACGGTCATGTGCCGAAGTTTCTTTTCTTCTAAAGGCGACCACAGTTACAGGTCTTTAGGGTTTAGGGTTTAGGGTTAGGGTTTAGGGTTTAGGGTTTAGGGTTTAGGGTTTAGGGTTTAGGGTTTAGGGTTTAGGGTTTAGGGTTTAGGGTTTAGGGTTTAGGGTTTCGGGTCCATGTGCTTTAGCCGAAGTTCTGCTCAACCCCACGGCGTGTTCACGGGATGGTAATGACTGTTGAGGCCCTGTTAGCGGAGACTCAGGTTCGTTAGGTTTTACAGGGAGGACATAGGGTTCGGGGTTTCGGGATCAGGGTTTAGGGTTTAGGGTTTAGGGCTACCTTCCGTGCTCAGACCCAGTAAGTATTGGTGATGGTGCACGGGATTAGAGGTGGGTGATGTTGCGGTTCTGCGGCCTAGGACCATCCCAGGGTCGCACCTGGAACCTTGCTTCAGGCCGGCCTCGACGCCGCGGCTAAGGGGGGCGCGGCGTTGGAGTGCCGCTTCTTGCGCGACTCGCTGGCGGAAGGCCGGTTTTCGAGGAAAGGGTTCAGGGTTTGGGGTTTAGGTTTTGGGGGGGGTTTCGGAACCCTAAACCCTAAACCCTAAATTTAAGAGCCTCCGGCTCAAGCCGCCGACCCCGCTGGAGCATAGTTGAGAGGTCTAAACCCGCTCGCATGGTTCGAAGATCATCCCAGCCTGCTCGGCAGAGTTCTGTGAAACGTTTGGGGGGGCCAGGGGAAGCACCAGGACAAGCTCAAGCCAAAAAGACAGGTGGGTGGGGGGTAGGGGGGGCGGGTGAGCACCAGGACAAGCTCAAGCCAAAAAGACGGGGGGGGGGGGGGAAAACGCTGATTTTGCTGAGGGCGCCCCTACCCCCCCTGCTGAACCGCCTGTCTACGCTGTGCGGCTGGCGCGGTCCTCCACGAAAAAATTGTGCACCGACCCCCCCTACCCCCCCCCCCCGCGCGCTTGAGCCTCCTCAAACCCATCCAACAGGGTCGGCGGACCCTTAACCCTTAGCCCTCAGCCCTAAGCCCTAAACCCTAAACCCTAAACCCTAAACCCAAACTTCCTAAACCCTGAACCCCTGGAGGCCGAAGACTGGGGAAGACGGTCTTCATCTACATGACCCACAGCTTTCAGAGGACGGATCCTCAACTCCCAATACAAGCCCAGAGCAAATGTTTAGGGTTTAGGGTTTAGGGTTTAGGGTTTAGGGAGACCGAAAAGTCTGCGCCCGAAACTCCTAGACCCTGTTCAACTTCCTAGTTCTTACTCGGGAAACTAGACAATCAGCCAATCCTAAACCCTAAAACCCTAAACCCTAAACCCTAAACGCTAAACCCTAAACCCTTGTGAGATTTTCCTGTACACAAGCGCCGAGTTGGATTTCGTATAGTACAGAAGCTGTTAGACGAACACTTGTATAGGCATGAACAAGCATGCAAGCGTCAAATAGCATTCATGAGACAAGTTCCTGCATGACAGGCGCCTTGGGCTCAATCGGAAAAAGCAAGCTACGTAGTCTAGTCACTGTGACTCCGGCCCCAGCACCCCGCTTCTGAAACTGGTAGCGGAGCTGTGGAGCTCAGTGACACGTTTTTCATTCCTCGCAGCAATCTCGTCCGGAAGAGAAAGCTAAGGGGGATTTGGGTGTGAGCCGAGAAGCCGAAAGAACGTCAGCGTTGCCAGTCTACAATAGACCACTGCACTGCGCAAATCCGACACCATGTCGGTAGCTGGGTTAAAGTACGACCCTGTACTTAGCCTTGACACCCCAGCAGAAACCATGTCAGGAAGCTACATTTACAGCGGCTCCGCAGCGTCCTTCCACGACTGGGAGTTTCGCACACGTGCCCGTGTCTCCCAGCATCGTGAGAGGCAGCGTCGAGAGGTCTTGAAAGACCTTCGTTCCAGCCACCAACTCAGCCGTTCTGCATCCCCACGAAAGTGGGTAGGTGGTGGCATAAGATCCCCGGACCGTCACACAGGTGATGAGAGCAGTGGAATGGCAGCCAGTCCTTCAAGTGCCCCAGGACGCCGGCGCGGCCGCCAGGCCGGTGCGGAGTCCATGTCGTCAGGAGACGGTGGCGAAGAAGAGCAACAGCCACAAGATTATGAGGTTGAGGACGACGGGCAAGCTTCGGTAGAGACTGAGCCTGTTCCCACACTCGCTTCGGTCCGCGATAGTGATCTTGACATGTCTGATGCAGTTCAGAAGACGCTGGAAGGCCTCCGTGGCGACGCCTTTCTTATCGCCCGAGACATAGGTCTCGAGAGGTTGTTGAAGCACGACGGCATTGATCTCCTCATTCAGAAGGTCAAAGACCAAGCATTTCCCTTGCAGGGGGAAGAGGCATCGGAATTGTTCAGGCAAGGCCAGTTGCTGACAGGTCCCTTGTCTAAACAATCAGGGGAGCCGATGTTGTCTTACATTTCCCGGCGAAAGCGCTGGTGGGTTACCCTAAGGGAATTGGACCCAGAAGTCAGGTTGTCAGAAGCCATGCGTGCCAATCTCCTCGTGGAACTGTCTGGTTTGTCGCGCCAAGAGCAGCTCATGGTGCGCACCGCAGCACAAGCCGAGACAGTAGATGAGTATGCGCGCGTGCTGATCAAGCATCATAGTGTTGTGCATATGCGTGAACGCTTGCTCGTTGAGAAAGACAAGCCTGCCGCTAGAACATGGTCCAAGCCCCGGTGGGAGAATACCTCATTTCAGCAGAAGCCTCGGTACGGTTACATGACACAAGGTTTCGTGGAGGATGATGAGTGTGAGTACCAAGAGCCAGAAAGTCAGGCCTATGTAGCCGAGGAGCATGAGGTCGAGGAAGACGAAGGCGAATGGGTTGATGACAGTGCATTAGCCTTGGCTCTCAACGCATATACAGCTATGCAGACAGAGCTTGGAGGCGAGCCAGGCGAGGAGCACGCCGAAGCATTGCAGCTGGCATACGCAGCCCAAACCACACTTGCCAATGTGAAGGGTAACAAAGGTAAGGGTTTTGGTAAGTCTGGCGGTAAGAAGGGTGGTAAGGTCCCTCCTTCCAATCTTTCTATCGCCGACAGGAAAGCCAAACTTGCCGAGCTGAAGGCTCGCAGCCGATGCTTGCGATGCGGCGCAATCGGTCATTGGGCCGGTGACGCTGAGTGCAGGTTTAAGGGTAGTCCCGGAGGTCCTAAGGGTGCCAGTAAGGGTGGTCCAGGTGCAGAGAAGTCCGCCTCACCCGGGAAGCCCGGGATGGCATCCTCCTCACAAGCCTACCTTGCCGCACTGAGTGACGCATCGGACGATGAGACCCCTGCCATTCACCTTTCCAACACTTCAAGAGACATGGAGGGCTATCCCGCTGAAAGGAGCGGAGGACCCTCAGAGCGTCCTCGTGTTCGCAGATCGGAAGCCACTGCCATGCGTGACAGCCCACCGCCAGGATCTGACACCTTGTTCACTTTCGGTCATCACAAAGGCCTGACGTATGAACGAGTGCTACACACCTATCCTGGGTATGTCCTTTGGGGTCAAACACAGAAGTGCCCTTCTAAGTGTTTGGGTGATTTCCTGAACTGGGTGCATGAGCATTATGTGGTAGATGACACGGACCCCATAGAAGTGCGTAGAAGAGACATTCCTCTTAGTACGATGATGCCCCCAACTCCCGTTGCTGACCGCGCAGCCAACGCTGAAGGCACCGCCTCATCCAGTACCGGTTTCCGGCCCAAGTGCAGGGGTGGTTGTAAGACCTTTAGCAAGACAGGGAGCAATTCGTACATAGACATGCGCACATGCAAGTCCTGTGGTACGGTAACCAAGACTCGCAAAGAACAGGTTCAGGTCGACCCTACCACATGCACGCATGCCCAGGTAGATCGTTCAGGTTCCAGCAAGACAACCAGCCGAATCAAGTGCAAGCTTTGTGGCATGATCCTAGATGAACTGCCCCAAGAAGAGAAGAAAGCTAGGGACGCAGCCGCAGCACAGCTGCGAGACACGAACACCCTAGACTTCGACATGATGCGCTCTATAGTGGGCAGAACGGGGGATCGAGTGCCTGTAGAAGTGGTCGTACCAGCCCTTGAACAGTTCAAGGAGGCAGTTGAGGGTCACTTCGTCACCGAATCTTCGATAACGAGGGGAGACTTGTTTGCCTACCTCCAAGAGGCTCTGGACGATCATGCGGATGATACGAGCCCCACGAGCGCGAGTTGGGAGATGGCTTCATCGGGAAGAAGGCCCGGTACAGCAATGGTTGCCATGCTTGCCGGACCACGCGAGGGAGTCACAGACACGAACCCCAGTTTGAGCAAACTCCCCGTGGTTAACATTCGCACATCCCCACATGTTTTCGCAGTTCTAGATGAAGGGTGTAACTCAACGGTTCATGGCGAGGATTGGGGTCACGAGAGCATGTCCAAGTATGCGAGCTTTGGGTATTCCACGAGGTTTGTGAAGGAGACTTCCAAGACCTTCAAGGGTTTGAGTGGTTCCACTTCCACGCTTGGGACCCGAACCTTTCCTTTCTGCCTTTTGCCCTTGGATTCAGTTGAGGGCGAGGAGGTTTCCCATAGGGAAAGATTGTGTGGGGCGCTAGATTCCCATGAGATCCCTGGTGGGGCACCCCTCCTACTATCGCTTCATGCCCAGAGTCAACTTGGGATGGCAAAAGACCTACACTTAGGGACGTGCTCCGTAAGGCTCCCGTCGAACCCCGACAAGACCATTGAACTCAAGTTGCATCGGACATCAGACTCAGGTTTGCTTTGCATTTGCCTAACCGATGGTCTCTTGCAAGGGAAACAACCCCGCCTTGTTCGAGGATTTGCGATCCCACCGCCACCTGCAGGTGCTGCCCGAGCAATAGCAGCAGAGGGTTCGGATAAGTGCGCAAACAGCAAGGTCACCAAACGAAAGGCCTCTTCAATGCAGACGCACTCTATAAGTGAACCCCAAGGTGAGAACACAAATTTGACAGCAGCCATGGCCATCGCACCTTCACAGCGCCCCGCGCCTAAGGCGAGGCCTCAGCAGCTGAATTCCGAGACCTTCCCCACCGAGGGAGGAGACAATCCCAAGCACGCCGCGGACATTTTTACCTTCGGCTACAACTTCGAGGAGGCCGTTGATAAGATCCGCAACGCTTGGGAGCCACAGCAATTCGCTGACATGTTCAGTGAGATGCGCTCGGCAGAGGCTACCCTTGAACTCGGAGGCGCATTCGTCGGCATCTTCTTTGACCTGACATACTTGCCGAATGCCAGGAGTTTGGATCCTGAGCTCGCAGGTTGCAAGCGAGATACAAGCCTCCGAGATCATGTGGGTTCCCACCCTTCTATAATGAAGGCGATAGCTGCAGACCCTGGATTCCTGCAACATTGCAGAGCCATTCGTTCCAAGGTGAAGAAGTCAATGGAGCAGGGCTACCAGGCGATGAACATTAGCGTTGTCTGCAAACAAAACCGGCACCGTTCCGTGGCAGGAGGTATCCTCATTGAGCACATGCTGCTTCGCGTTGAAGGACTCCATGTTTCCATGCAGCATTGCAACAGCGAACAGTCCTGGCCGCTCATGGGTGGATCTTGCCGCGGGCATTGCAGCTGGTGCAACCATCGCACAGACGATGCGAAGGCGGCCTACGAGCAGGTGTTGGCCGACTTCATCAAGTATCTGGAAGGCGATGTCAAGGAGAGCACCACATGCATTTTGCACTGCGAGTCAGAGCCTGAAAGAGCCCCGGGCACAGCTCCGGAGGAAGTTACTGATCTGGACGCAGACGATGAGGTGGAAGAGGTCCCATCAGATCCGCTGGAAGTAGCGCCTGGAGAGGGAGAGTCAGCATCGCAGGCCGCTACTCGATTGGGGCTTCGTGGCAAGCAGCACACCTCCTACGTGGCGAAGTGGGACCCAAGCTCCCTGACAGGGAGGCTTCATCAGCAAGCGGGCTCAGGTGTGTTCACTGCCACCTCAAGTCATCTGCCAGTTCAGGCCCAGGTACAAACCCTGGAGAGAAAGCTAGCGCTGCGCGACAAGGAAGTCGAGTCACTTCGAAGCAAGCTCCGGGACGTCGAGCGGGACAAGCAGGAGGCGGAACGGAGAGCGAAGCGTGCAGAACAGCTCCTGCAAGATGCCCTTGCCCAGTTTGGTGGTCGTTCCCGCTCCCGACATCGACACCATGACCGAAGGGCAAGGAGCAGTTCAAGTGACTCCCGGAGAAAGGTCCGGAGGGAGAGGTCAAGCCACCACGATGATCACAGAGCGCAGTCTTCCCGCCGAGAGTCGTCTTCTTATCGTGATCGTGACCGTGATCAGTGGCACCCCAGCAGCAGCTACCGCGACACCGCTCGCGAGACCTCCTCATACGACCAGAACCAGTGGGATGCTTGGGATGATGAGTGGTCCCGAGCTGGCGATTGGGGTCACCAGGCTCCGCCCGAGCCACCCAAGCCACCTGTGAGACGATGGACCCCACATTTGGAGGCGCGTGCCAACAGGGCCGCCGACGAGGAGTTCTGGCAGAGGCGCTTTGAGGAGAATCGACCCCTGGACAGGCGGGAGCTGAAGAACTACTTCCATGATCCGGCGGCTGACAACTCTAACGCCGCCTGGGCGCAGTGGAGGAAGAGTCAGGGCCCCGCACCGCCGGGAGAGGGCAAACGCATCAAGTTGGATCCGGCAATCCTCGCTTTGGATCTTACGGAGATTCCAACTTCGGACGACGCCAGCCTTTCGTGGAACAGGCGAGTCCTGGTCGACCTGCTCCCGGACCAGGTGATGCACGAGTTCTGCGGCCTTCTGTATGGACGTCCGAGTCCGGCGTTGTGGATTGGCCCTTACATGCCCAAATCCTTCTCCACACAGGATCAGGAGCACACCGACAAGTCCGAGCGCCACAACTTCAAGGTGACTGCCGTGACCCCTCACACGAGGGAGGGATACAAGCCTTGTGGGAGTGTCAAAGGCCCTACACCGATCGGGTGGCTGTTTCTCAACGACAACCCGAAGAACAAGGGCGGCGTGTGGATCCCACAGGGGACGGTGTGTCCTCCCGGTCACAGTACCGAGGATGTTTGCGGTGAATTCAAGGCCGAGCAAGTGTGCCCAACCGAGCCTCCGCCAAGTGGAGGTGCGTACCTTGTGCTTTGGTTGTATCCAAAGGCCTTTGCACCGGACACAGTTCCGAAGACCCTTGCAGACCGCGATGAGCTGAGCGCATATATGGCGTCATTGCAGGGGGTTAATGACTTAGGGGAGTTCAAGCAGGTAAGGTTCGATGTTGAGGATTCCGACGATGAGTTTGAGCTAATCCCTGCACATGATGGTCCCAGAGCAATTACCCGTGACACTGCACACTCACTGCCCAAACTCAGCAACAGACAGAGGAAGAGGGTGCTTAGTGGGATTCAGGAAATGGTTGCGGGAGATCGTGTGTTGCAAGCGATTGCATTCAATGCAGCAGTGGCTACGGATCACATGATTGCCTTCACCCCCACTGAGCCTCCTATTTCACACTGCAAATGGGTACCCGAATCCCTTGACGCGCAGGTGATCAGCGAGACCATTGCCAACCTGGAGACAGGTGTGCCCGGTCTCATAGTTCTGAGGGTCGACGCTCCCACCGAGGAGTTGTGTTTAGAGTGTGAGTGCCTAGCTGACACAGCTGGAGTGAGCATTGTCCTGGTGAGTCCCTATGGATGCCCAACACTCGAAAGTACTGTCGAGGTAAGAGGAGACTTGAGTGTTTCCGGGATAGGGCCGAACATCGACGATGCACTCCAGGTCTTGTCCACATGGACCGAGAGTTATGGCATGAGCCCCCGTTGCTATGCAGACACGGAAGAACATGATTTCTGGGCCACATGTCGTGACATTTCACAGGAGCTTTACCTGAACTCTTACACACGCAATTGCTTTGTAGGATCGGAAGGTCTAGGTTCCGACATGGAAGATCAGGAACTCATTCCCGATGAAGAGATGGCTGAACTACTTAGGGAGCAAGACAATGGGGCTTCAGTGTTCACCCCTGAAGAGAGAGAGCAACTCATCCTCGAGCAGTTGTCTTTCCCAGGTACTCCGGCATCGGAGGAAGAACGCAGAGCAGCTTGGCGTTCGCTCCCACAGCGCACGAGGGTTGCTATCAGGCGACTCCATAGGGCATTCGGTCATCTCCCAGGTAAAGTCCTGGAGCAGGTCCTTAGGCAGAGCAAGGCATCCAAGGAGTTCATCCTAGCTGCCCGCCTTCATAGATGTAAGGCTTGCCTAGACACTGCACCAGTTCCGCGACATCATCCAGTCTCAGGGGAATCGGTGTTTCCGAAAGAGTTCAATCACACACTTGGCATAGATTGCATGGAAGTAAAGGATGTCGATGGTACCCGCTACACTGCAGTCAACATGGTCGACATGGGAACCAGCTTCCAGCAAGTAGCCCTGATAAAGTCAGGAGGTGGCAATCCCAGCGCACGACAATGTTTGCAGGTCTTCATGGAGCGATAGGTATCGTGGGCAGGACATCCACAGCATGTAGTGGTTGATAGGGGAACGCATTTCAAGGGAGAGTTTGCAAGTTACATGGGACAACATGGTATTCATCTCCGAAATGCACCCTTAGAATCTCCGCAGACCATAGGGAAGGTCGAAAGACATGGTGGTTTGCTCAAGGCACTAGTAAGAAAAACAGTGCAGGAGATTCAGCCCTCGACTTGGGAGGATATGGTCATGGTGGTCAGTGAATGTGTGACTACAAAGAATGACCTGTCCAGACATCAAGGTTTCAGCCCATCACAGCATGTGCTAGGCAAGCGGCCTAGGACACCAGGTTCAGTCATGGACGAAGATGAGAGCATGGGAACTTTGTTGGCCCGTTTCGATGAAACCACTCCTTTCTACTCCCGACATAGAGCCCGGGAAGAAGCCCGCAAAGCCTTCGTGCACTTGGACTCGTCCAGGAAGGTTGCTCGTGCACTGCAAAGGAATGCAGCTCCCATGGACATGGAGTACCAGGTGGGCGATTTGGTCATTTATCGAAGGGACAATTTGCCCGGTTCAACATCCACTGTGTGGTCAACTGCAAGCCGCGTGATAGGGCGCGAGGCGGAGAATGCGTACTGGTTGCTGCATGAGGGTGTACCTGTGTTAGTCAATGCCAGAAAGATGAGGCCTGCGGATGAGGTCGAAGTAGCTGCACGCCGAGTTCTGACCGGAGAACCCGTTCTGCCAGGTTCCATTGTCCACGGTCCAGAGCAACGTTATCTCGACGAAAGAGATAAGGATCCAGTAACAGCGCCTTCTACCCCCAGACCGAACACTGGCATAGCGTCGGCTCCCTCTACTCCCATGAGAGTCGCAGCGGCCGAAAGTCCCGCCATCACAAGCAAAGAGATTTCGCCCAGTGATAAGACGGGCAGGGAAAGAACTCGTTCCCCGCTCAGGCAGAGCTCTAGCGCTCTGATGGCTGAGGCACAGGACACCGATCCTGTAGAAGCAAAGGCAAGCGAGCTCCTGGAAGCAATGGCCTTCGAAACGAGCCACTGTCTCGAGCTGCTTAGGTTGTGCAAGGAACACAAACCGAAGAGGACGAAAAGAGCGATGTTCCAAGACGCAACAGATGATGAGCTTGCCGCCAGTTTCGGTGTTTATAGGCACGGTGGTTTTGTTGGGATTTCTAACCCTACTAAGCAACGCCCGTGTTTTGTGACCTACTTGAACCGCTTCCTGAGGCACCACTGTGAGAAGGCAGGCTACACCGAGTTCACTTGGAATGGGATCCAAGTAAGCGAATCGCGGGCAAGTTTGCACAAAGACAACTCCAATTTGAAGGGCTCGCTCAATTTCACCATGAGTTTGGGAAATTATTCGAAAGGAGGTCACCTGTGGATAGAAAACCCTGAGGGAAACACAGTGATTGACGTTTGTGGCAACCTTGTTCCCGGGACTCTACACACCACTCGAGGCAAAGTCCTTCGTTTTGATCCAAAGAAACTCCATATGGTGGAACCCCATGAAGGGCAGAGATTCAGCATCATTGGGTTCACTATGAATCACTTGGGAAAGTTGCGCGCAGATGAACACCAGATGATGGAAGACTTGGAATTCCCACAACCGCGTATTCCATCACCCCAAGTAGAGCAGCCCCGTCAGGAGGAGCACTCCTCAGACGACGAGGAAGTCGGAACAGGTTTCCTAGCCTCACTTTTGGACTACCACAACAGCCCGGCCGAGGTGCAGTTAGGGTTGGACGAGGCTATGCTCGCAGAGTGGGCCAAGTACCAGGAATTCCACGCTGTGATACCTTGCTCAAAGAAGCAAGTGCAAGAGTTGCTTAGCCAAGGACACATCTGCGTGCCCACCAAGTGGGTCCTCACCGACAAACATGAACATTTGAAAGGCACCCCCGGCTATCGTCCCAAATACAAAGCTAGGCTAGTCGCATGCGGGAATTTCGAGCACATCTCCACAGGGGAGGACATTCGTGCAGATTCCCCGACAGCCGAGCCTGAAGCACTGGCTTTCATTTGTTCCTGGGCATCGTCCCTCGGCTTGCGAATCAAGGCAGCCGATATCACAAACGCCTACTGCTCGAGAGATTGCTGATCCTCAAGGCCCCAAGCAACCCCAAGGGCGTTCCGGACAAGGAGATCCAGGAATCCGGCTACATGATCGCCCGTGTCCCAGTGTATGGAACGACCGATGCAGGCCGAAACCTCTACCTTCGCATAGTCGAAGAGACAAAGAGCATCGGACTGAAGTCTTCCCAGATCATGTCCGCGTTGTACTACGCGCACGACACAAGCGGCCGGCTGTGCGCTATGTTGTGCACACACGTGGACGACTTCTTCTGGGCAGCGTTCGGTGAGGGCGAGCTGAAGATCCAGCAGTTGCTGGACCACTTCAAAATCGGGAGGATCGAAGAGGGTAGCTTCAGGTTCTGTGGCAGGGAATACGCTCAGCACCCCGATGGCACCATCGAGATCAACTCAAGGGACAACACGCGTGCCATCGCTCCCCTCGAGATTCCCAAGGGTGCAAAGTTGACGACACCTGTCACACAAGGACAGAGGACGGCGCTTCGGTCCGTCATAGGTTCACTCGCGTGGGTGGCCCGGGCTACCAGGCCCGACCTCGCGTACCGCGTCAACGCGTTGCAGCAGCGAGTGACCGTCGCGACCATCGACACGATGAGAGAGGCCAACCGTGTGGTCGCACTCGCCCTGGCCGACGCAGAACGCTGCATCGTGTATCGCGCCAAGATACTGCCGTGGAGCAGTGGTCCCCTCGCAGTAGTCACATTTTGTGACGCCTCTTTTGCTGCTGAAGCTGGGTACAAGTCCCAGAGGGGAAGGTTGCACTACCTCACTGACGCGGATACAGCACGCGACGTGAACGCACCCAAGCACAAGCTTCACCTGGTTGCATTCGGTAGCTCTACAATGAAGCGAGTCTGCCGCGCGACACTACAGTGTGAAGCATACAGCCTACAGCACGCCACCGAGCACGGAGACAGGATCCGTGCGACGCTCCTAGAGTTGCAAGGCAAGCTGCCGTCATTGCATGACTGGAGCGAAGTAGCGCCGAGAAAGATGCTACACCTGCAGTACTCCGACTGCAGATCGCTCGCAGATCATTTGCTGTCGTCGGTACCCAGACAAGTGGAAGACAAGCGTCTTGCTATCGAAATGACAGCATTGCGTCAAGCACTGTGGGTAGACGAGACACCGACGAGCGAAGCCTTCGCACCATTCGGTGATATCCTGCGATGGATACCAACCCACCTTCAGTTGGCTGACTGCTTGACCAAGAGCATGAAGCCCAAGCTTCTGAACGATGCCTTGGAGAGCAACGAGGCCGTTGTGAGAGAAGAAGCTCCAGCTGAGTGACGAATTTCACTTCTCTTGAGGCGCACTCATCCACTCGTTGATAAGACGGGTGTGAGATTTTCCTGTACACAAGCGCCGAGTTGGATTTCGTATAGTACAGAAGCTGTTAGACGAACACTTGTATAGGCATGAACAAGCAGGCAAGCGTCAAATAGCATTCATGAGACAAGTTCCTGCATGACAGGCGCCTTGGGCTCAATCGGAAAAAGCAAGCTACGTAGTCTAGTCACTGTGACTCCGGCCCCAGTACCCCGCTTCTGAAAACCCTAAACCCTCACAATGCCGTTTCAAGAAATTATGGCACCGCATTCTTCCAATTCCCTATGAAGAAGTAGTTGCCCTATGCAAATAAGCAACAAAAGTTAACTAATGTTGACAAATATGCATTTTCACAACAAAATATAAACAATTTCATGAAGTTTTGCTTGATGTTCATGCAAACCCTAAACCCTAAACCCTGAACCCTAAACCCTAAACCCTAAACCCTAAACCCTAAACCCTAAACCCTAAACCCTAAACCCTAAACCCTAAACCCTAAACCCTGAACCCTGAACCCTGAACCCTGAACCCTGAACCCTAAACCCTAAACCCTAAACCCTGAACCCAGACCCGAAAGCCTAAACCCGAGACCCCAAGTCCGAAATTCATGAAGCCAGCAGCCAAAGGGGCAGCAAACCTCACATCTAGCATTTGGGGTTTAGGGTTTGGGGTTTGGGGTTTAGGGTTTAGGGTTTAGGGTTTAGGGTTTAGGGTTTAGGGCTTCTGGGGCTGCAGCCCCCCCAACGCAGGACGTGTGACGATTGGGCGCTGATTCAGCAGCTGGATGCCCCTCGGCGGAATGCAGCGGTGCCAGGGTTTCTTTACTGTGGGTTGAGGGGGTTTACTGCTGTTTGCTTAAGAACCCGAGTAGAATTTAAAAATAATAGTCCCTATAATAACCTTAACAAGGAAGAATATGTTGATTTGTGTTTGCTTTCTTTTCTGGGTTCTTAAGCAATTAGCAGTATAGGGGTTTAGGGCTTTTAGCTCAATCGTTTGAGGGATTGGTGTTTTAGGCTCAAGGGTTTAGGCGTTTGGGGAGTTCTTGGGGTTTTTGGTTGTTGGGCTCAGGGGGTGTACGGGCTAATTAAGAAGATTTTTCAGGTTCACGAACGGGAATTTCTAAGGCCCTACATCACCCTAAACCCTAAACCCCTAGACCCTACCCCTAAACCCTAAACCCTAAACCCTATAGCTGCAGGTATGGATCACCGGCCACAAGCATTTCTACTGGCAGTCAGAACCGTCCGGCTCAGTCACTGCTCAAGAGCCCCTTGGCCTCCGCTTAGGGTATGGGGTTTGTGGTTTGGGGTTCAGGGTTTAGGGTTTAGGGTTTGGGGTTTAGGGTTTAGGGTTTGGGGTTTAGGGTTTAGGGTTTAGGGTTTGGGGTTTAGGGTTTAGGGGAATGGGTTTTTGGGTACCGCTGCGCCTGATTGTTTCTGGGTAGATGTACACGGCTGCCTAGTTGCACCCTAAACCCTAAACCCTCAAACCCCAAGAGCCCTCAACCCTAGGCCCTAGACCCTAAACCCTCAACCCCAAGAGCCCTAAACCCTAGACCCTGAACCCTGAACCCTAAACCCTAAACCCTAAACCCTAAACCCTAAACCTCAACCTCAAGAGGCGTCGCTACTTCCCTTTGCACATGGTGATCGGCAACGGGGGCTTCGACGAAGGGGAGATCGACACCGCGCCTTTGCCCGCAGAGAAGCCTTCCGAAGTTACGCGTGAAACGCGGGTTTTAGGGTTTAGGGTTTAGGGTTTAGGGTTTAGGGTTCAGGGTTCAGGGTTTAGGGTTTAGGGTTTAGGGTTTAGGGTTTAGGGTTTAGGGTTTAGGGCTTAGGGTTTAGGGTTTAGGGAACCCAAGCTTCCAGCGACCCTGAACTGAACAGGTAACCTGCCAAACCCCCCAAGAACCCCAATCCCCTCCAGCACTCTTCATCAGACCCCTGAACCCGACCCTACACCCTACACCCTACACCCTACACCCTACACCCTACACCCTACACCCTAAACCCTAAACCCTAAACCCTAAACCCTAAACCCTAAACCCTAAACCCTAAACCCTAAACCCTAAACCCTAAACCCTAAACCCTAAACCCTAAACCCTAAACCCTAAACCCTAAACCCTAAACCCTAAACCCTAAACCCTAAACCCTAAACCCTAAACCCTAAACCCTAAACCCTGAACCCTAAACCCTGAGACCCCTTAGGCCTGACTTAGGGGTCAGGCTCTCGTCAACCGTTTCCCCGGTCAAAAACACTGAAGTCTTGCCGAAAAGAAATCAAATGCCAGCAGTTCCTATCGATGTAGGAATTCGAGCAGTTGGTTTGGGTTTAGGGTTTAGGGTTTAGGGTTTTTAGGGTTCAGGGGACCTGTTGTGGGTAGTATCCCTGTAGCCCCAAATCCCTCAACCCAACCCCTGTAGGGTCGAAGCTGGGCTAGCTGAGAAATTCTCTGAGAGGATTGTGTTGCCGCGCGGCTGCGACGCCGTAGCGGGCATACTAAGCCTGTTGCATCGGAGAAAGCCAGGGGAGCAGGTCTACAGGGTGGGGCCCCCTAGTTATAAGTAGAGTTATAAGGGCCCTGAATTGGGTTACAAGGACCCTAATTTAGGTTATAAGTCCCCTTAACTACAGTTAGTATAGTAAGGGGGCCCCACCCTCTACCTCCTGACGGTTGACATCACACAGACGCCTTCCTCAACCTGCAAGTCAAGGAAGAGGAAAGGGCGCTCACCATAGTGCGAAGCCAGGACGTACTATGCCTACAAGGGGGGTCCCGTTTGGGCTGGCCACCGCACCCCTCCTCTGGGGCCGGGTCGCGGCGTGGCTAATCAGGCTCATACAGGCCAGCATGGCACAGGGCCAAGCCCGACTCCAGTGCTACGTGGACGACCCTTTAGCCGCCGTGCGCGGCACCGCCCGCGAGGCCACAGACATTGCGCTCATGATGATGGTGGCTTTCTCCGGTGGTGGGAGCCCTTTTCCACAGAGCTTGAAAGGTTAGCCTTGACAGGGGTAGGTTTGGGTTGAGGGTTTAGGGTTTAGGGTTTAGGGTTCAGGGTTTAGGCTTAATCCCCTGTACAATCCTTATAAAGCCATAAGAAACGGGGTTTTTAGAGTCCCCCCAAACCAACCGCGGCCCTAGTTCAAAGGAACAGGAACAAGTACGCAACTACAAGCCCCCTGAGGTGGAGGAGCCACGTGAAAGATTTTCTGTTCAGACGCGTGCTTGCTAGGATTTTTGGGAGTGGGTGTTCTCCAAGGGTAGTGTGTTGGGATCAAGGGGTTTACTTTAGATTTTATAGGGCTTCAAATAGGGTTTAGGGGTTCTCGAAAGGTAGTTACATGATCCCTTAATATGTTCCCCTGCCTTCTTTAAATTAAAAGGTTCTAAGGTCTACAGGGTGTATATAAGGAGTTCCAATGAAAGGGCCCATACAAAGGGACCGTGTAACTACCCTTAGAGCTTTAGGGGTTTGGGTTTGGGGTTTGGGGTTTGGGGCCTAGGGTTCAGGGTTTACGGTTTAGGGCTTGGGGGCTCAATTGTGCAATATCTCCGACTTGGTGGTCCAAAATGTCGAGCAACCCCCTGACCCTCAAGCCTAAAACCCCAGACGCTAAACCAGGAACCCTTAAACCAAAGTTTCCAACAAGCCTAAACCCTAAACCCTAAACCCTAAACCCTAAACCCTAAACCCTAAACCCTAAACCCTAAACCCTAAACCCTAAACCCTAAACCCTAAACCCTAAACCCTAAACCCTAAACCCTAAACCTAAACCCTAAACCCTAAACCCTAAACCCCTAAGCCCTAAACCCTAAACCCTCAACTTCAACCCGCAAAAGGTCAGCTTCGGTCACCTCCGCGAGATCCCATACACGGATAACAGCCGGAAGTCTCAGCGCAGGGGACGTGGGACGTTTTCGGGGTCTGGGGGTTTAGGATAGGGTTTAGGATAGGGTTTAGGGTTTAGGGTTTAGGGTTAAGGGTTTAGGGTTTAGGGTTTAGGGTTCAGGGTTCAGGGTTCAGGGTTCAGGGTTCAGGGTTTAGGGTTTAGGGTTTAGGGTTTAGGGTTTAGGGTTGGTACAGCCCCAGTAAGGAAGTATTGGTTTCGGTGGCTTGGGATCATGGGGTTTAGGATCTAGGGCTTGGGGTTTAGGACTTAGGGTTTAGGGTTTCTTACATTCCAGTATCAGGAGTTGCGAATTTATATATATTTTTTGTTTGGGGATGCTTGCGTGGGGTGGCCAGTCAGGGACCTCGAACCTTTGCTGGAGGGTTGCCGATGACGCTTGCGGAGGCTCCCTGAGACGGCGGAGGGGAAGGCACCCTTTGGCAGCCGTACCCTGCGTGCCATCCATCCATCCTTTTGTTTGGGGGTCGGGGGGTTCTTAGCGTGTAACCCTAAACCCCAATTCCTAAAGCCTATCCCGTAAACCCCAAACCCTAAACCCCAAATCCCAAACCCCAAAGCCTCTGGGTTTAGGGTGTTCTTGTTGGGAGTTGGGATTCTGAGCACAGGGCTCAGCTTCCCTTCCTTTGTAGAAAGTTGCGCAGGTTTACCAAAAACCCTAAATTACTAAACCCCAAATCCTATACCCTAAAGATTTTAGGGTTTAGGGTGTCGGGTTTAATGTTTACTAAGCCTCACTGCCTTGCCTAAACCCTTCAGCCCTTAAGCCCTTCTGAAACCCAAATTCCATTGGGTTTAGGGTTTAGGGTTTAGGGTTTAGGGTTTAGGGTTTAGGGTTTAGGGTTTAGGGTCCTGCACTTCAGGTGGCCTGCAGCGCGTGAAAGTGCACTTTGACGTGTACGACACCTGCATCTCAGCGGATGCCGTTTGCCCTTCGCTAGGCGCTGTAGGGTTTAGGGTTTAGGGTTTAGGGTTCGAGTACCAGCGTTAGTTGGGGGTTTAGGGTTGGTTAGGGTCTGCTGTTTAAACCTAAACCCTGAACCCTCAAACCCCAAACTCAATTCCCCCCCCCCCCCCCCCCCGCAAGCAAAATATCCTCGTCTTTCTCGTGGTTCGCTTTTAGGACTGAATGTTTCAGCTGATGTGTCTTTCTGAATGAGGACGCTAAACGCTTCACGTTTAGGAGACGGGCAGATGCCGGCTAAGTGTTCACATCCCCAATCCCCCCAGCATTAATGGCTATTCCCATTCTTCCCTAAACTCTGAACCCTGAACCCAAAGGCCTAAACCTTAAACTAAACCCTACTCCCCACCCACTCCCGACCCCGCTCCCCCCCCCAACCCCCTCCCCACCCCGCCCCCCCCCCCCCCGCCCACCCTAAACCCTAAACCCTAAACCCTAAACCCTAAACTCTAAACCCTAAACCCTAAACCCTAAACCCTAAACCCTCAACAAGCTTCGATGGTAGGCATCGGTGGCCCATACTGCTGGGACCGCTGCCAGTCCATTCCAGGCGCTTGCTGTTCTGTTCAGATGTAACTAGGGGGGGTTTTGAGGTGCCCGAGAGCTTGAACTTTGGGCTTAGGGTTTAGGGTTAGGGTTTAGGGTTTAGGGCTTAGGGCTTAGGGTTTAGGGTTTAGGGCTTAGGGCGAAGGGCTTAGGGCTTAGGACTTAGGGCTTAGTCTTTTTTTTTTGTTTCTTGGGTTTAGGGTTTGGGGTTTCATCAAGGGACTCTCCCTCGGACCCTCAAGGTGGTAGGCTTGGGTTGGGCCACCCATTGTAAAAGATCGCCCACCGGAGTACAAGGACCATATTCGGAGTACATTACCTTTGTCATAGGTGGGTAGCACTTTACATTTTTAGGGGTGCTTAAACCCAGTGAGGAATAAACATGTTAAAAACCAACAATGAACATTACTACTCATTGCTTAAGAACCCCCCCAGCAAATAAAAACGTATTCTTCCTTACTAACGGTAGCATAGTTTTTTTTGTTTTTTTTTTTTTTTTTTTTGGGGGGGGGGGGGGGCGGGGCTCTTAAGCAATAGTAGATTAAGGGAAACCTCCAGGGGTGTAACCTTCGGGGTATGAGTCTTGAGTCCTGGGGGCTCCGATTTCATGTCTTTGCAGGTTCAGGGTTTAGGGTTTAGGGTCTAGGGCTTACGGGTTTTGGGTTTAGGGTTTTGGTGTTTTTGTCGTGCGTGGGACTTCGTTCTGTTTTGGTGTTTTTGAAAAACAGCTCCAGCGGCGGTGCTGGATTCCTATCATGGGGCTTTGGGGTTTAGAGTTGAGGGTTCAGGGCTTCGGCATTGTGAGTAGGAGTTGATGTTCTTAACAGGGATTTTCGTACCCCCTTTAAAATCCCTATTGAGGATGGTTAGTATAAATCCCATAGTAGGGTCTTGAACGGAGTGATGTTATGCTGGTCGCTCCGTCATCTTCACAGCACCCAAAAATGCTCTGAGGCCCTGAGACCCACCTCAGAAACCCGATGGCAGGTTACAGTTGAGAGTTGCGGGGTATGATATATTGGCGTTTGTAGAGTTTGTGGGAGTTTCAGGGTTTAGGGTTGAGGGTTTCGGGTTTAGGGTTTAGGGTCATTGTTGGCTTGCAGGCTTGCACTGTCCCAGGTGGTGTCGATGGCGGCGGCGGAGCCCGAAAAGCCACGCCAGGCACGGTTGTTGTTTTTTCTGGGGGCCGGGGGGTGGGGGGGTAAGGTTTTAGGGTTTAGGGTTTAGGGTTTAGGTTTAGGGTTTAGGGTTTCGGGTTTGGGGTTTAGGGTTTAGGGTTTAGGGTACATCTACATACATGTACCACCCGTGCTTGTCAGAAATGTGCGATGCTGTCTGTCTAGGGAATGCAGGCCGTATAATGGGGGCTGAAAGGGTTGTTGCGCTCTCTAAGGGACCATGAAACTACCCTAAGATGCTTGCAGGGCTTGTGGGGTTTCGAGGGCTTTTTGGGTACGGCCTCGGTCTTCCTTTTCTAGTGGTATGTGGCTTCTAGAGAAACCCTAAACCCCAAACCCTAAACCCTAAAGCCCTGGGCTTACAGGTTGTTCTCCGCTCAGGGTTCATCGGGATCAGTGTTTGGACCCTCAAGCCCTGCAAGCCCTGGGCAGGTAAACAAACGAAGCCCCAAACCCTAAAACGTGAAACCCTAAAACCCTGAAAACCCTTAAACACTTAAACCCGTAAGACCCCAAACCCCTTAAACCCCTGAAACCCTAACACCCTCAAACCCTAAAACCTAAGCCCTAAACCCTAAACCCTAAACCGAGGCAAGCATGGCACGGGCTTTGTCCTTGATGCCCCGAAGACGTCCAGCGATGCCCGCAAGCAAAAGGCGGTTTAGGGTTTAGGGTTTAGGGCTAGGGTTTAGGGTTTAGGGCTAGGGTTTAGGGTTTAGGGTTTAGGGTTTGGGGTTTGGGGTTTGGGGTTTGGGGTTTTTGGGTTTAGGGCGGGGCTCCGATTCGGCTGAGAGCTTGCCTGCCAGCACCTGCCAGCACATACTCGGGTGTTGTTGGGGTTTAGGGTTTTGGGCTTGGGGTTTAGGGTTTAATTAGGGTTGAGGGGTTTTGGGGTTAGGGGGTTAGGGTTCAGGGTTTAGGGTTTAGGGGTTTAGGGGTTTAGGGGTTTAGGGTTTAGGGTTAAGGGCTTAGGGCTTAGGGCTTAGTAGGGCTATAGGGTTCAGGGTTTAGTATGGCTTGTGTTTCGGGTTTGAGGTCTACGGACAGGCGTATGCAGGGGCTTAGGAGAACTGCTTGCAGGTGGCTTGTGATGACAGCTTGCTCAAAGCTTGATCCAATCCATGCCGCCCCTTCGCCCCTAGTTATTCACAGCTCCAACTCCCGCAATAGCGCAATGGCTTGAACGCCTAAAGCCCAAACTCCAAACCCTAACTCCCAAAGTCCGGAAACAAGAAAGCCAGCTCAGGCAGCTAATGTGTTTGCATTGTGGGGAAGAGCTGAGCGAGTTCTTGAATGAGATTGTCCTGATTCTTCTTGGGGGTGAGGCAATGATGAGACGCATTGAGGCAATCGGCAACAGGACTGTACTGTTAGCCAGAACGTGGGCAAGATTGGGCTTTCCGGCGGAGGCCTTGATGAAGAAACTCGCGCACTTGAATTTTCAGGCATCAGAAGCATGCAGTCTACACTGTGGGGGAACTGCTAAAGGACATGGGCGATCGTCTGCAAGCATGGCCCACCTGCAAAGCCACCTGAGGCGAATCAAGGAGACCGTGTGTGCGAGCTTTGTCAAAGCGAAAGCGACTGAGATCCCTAGACCCGAAACCCCGAAGCCAGAGACCTTATCGGTTATCAACAGCACCGTTTCACCGTAGTTTTCACGTGGTTTGCACGACAGAGGCCCGCCCCCCCCCCCCCCCCCTCTGTCAATCGTCCCCACCATAAGTGGCAACTTGGAAAAGCTCCAGAACCTGTTCACTCCAAGGTCCTTAACTTTAGGGTTTAGGGTTTAGGGTTAAGAGTTTAGGGTTTAGGGTTTCGGGTTTAGGGTTTAAACCCTCTACACTCTACACTCTACACTCCCAAAGCCACGACGCTAATCTCTGACACCTACACTCTTAAAGGCTTAGGGCTCAAGAGCTCCAAACCCAAAAAAAACCCAAGCCCTAAACCCCCAAGACCGTACGCCCTAAAACCTAAAACCCTAAACCCTACTCCATCCCCAAACCCTAAACCCTAAACCCTAAACCCTAAACCCTAAACCCTAAACCCTAAACCCTACCTGGCAGCTCTTCGAATCGCCCTGGCGGCTGCGCGTGGAGACGGACGATGGCGTCACCTGGCTGAGGGACGATTTAGGGTTTAGGGTTCAGGGCTAGGGTTTAGGGTTTAGGTTGAGGGTTGAGGGTTTAGGGTTTAGGGTTTAGGGTTTGGGATTAGGGTTTGGGGGTTTAGGTTTTTCGGGTTTAGGGTTTGGTGCAGCTCTAGAACCTTGGACCTTAAAATCCCAGAGACTTCAAGGTCTAACCCAATCCCCAAGAGACCCTTGAAGCCTGCATCGAAATTTGGGTTTTAGTCTTTTTGGGTATAGGGTTTTGGGTTTTGGGTTCAGGGCTTGGGGTTTGTAGGGTTTATGGCTTCGGGCATAGGGTTTATAGGGGTGTAGGGCTCAGGGCTTTAGAGGGTTTAGGGTCTTTCGGGTTTAGGGTATCAGATTCAGGTTTAGGGTTGTTGGGCATATAGAGTTTGCACGTACTGGATGCCCACTTTGATTTGGTTGACTATACAGGGTGGGGCCCCCTAGTTATAAGTAGAGTTATAAGGGCCCTAAATTGGGTTATAAGGACCCTAATTTAGGTTATAAGTCCCTTAACTACAGTTAGTATAGTGAGGGGGCCCCACCCTGTAGGAACCAAAATGCAGCAAACCCTAGCCTAAACCCTAAACCCTAAAACCCATCCTGCAACAATTGATGGCTCCTAGAACTGTTTAGCATAGCTTGCATGCGTAGGGTTTCACCTGTGTACGGTTTGCGTTAGGCTCAAGCGTAGAGGTAGCTGTACAGAGTTTTTTAGGTCCGGGAGCTTCGCAAATGGTATGGGTACCCGCACGTGCGGTGGCGGGCACCGCTTTCCTCGCCGCCACAGCTGTGGAAAGAAGTTCGAGCCTTTCGGGGTTCGGCTTTGCTGGGATAGCAAATGCTACAGCCCATGAAGGTCCCCCCCTTCCCACTCCGCCTCTTGTGGAGGAGGATGAAACATCCTACACTTATACCTTTCAAGGACACATGGCGGACTGGTGGGGGGTCCGAGGATTGTTCTCGATCCCGGGTCTTTTCCCTTTCACCCCCGAATGGTTTTTTGTGCTCATGGAGTCGCAAATAAGCAACCAGACCTCATCGGCCGAGGCCACGACTGAGGGCAAACGGGGAGAACGACAGCAGGAGAAGAAGACCAACACGGAGGGAGATTCACACCGACCATGGCTGTTCTCCGCATTTTGGAAGCTGGCGAAACCAATAGTTGATAGGCTCGGTTCACTGGGACTTCTATACTGTGGTACGCTTTGCACTTCCATTGGTCTCGCGGCTAAGTGGGCGTATTGGTTGCTTGTCGGAATAGTTGGGGTATTCCTGCTGCAACTGGCCGTATGGACTTACACCTGGGTGGTGTACCCTACGGTGGTTCACTCCCGAGCCTTGTTGAGATACTGCCGAGGAGAAACACCATGGAGCGAAGTGTCAAGGCTCCTAGGAGACAGACCCTTTCGCCCCAACTGGAGAGGCCCCGCAACCGATGTCGCGTGGACTGCAAACTACGTTCAGTCCGAAGTGCGAGGCCGGGGGCCAAACCGCCTCCCGTACGATTTGTTGGTGAGCGATGGGACTGCTATCGCACGCTTGAGGCATGGCACTATTAGGGGACGGACGAATCGCCACGGCTTCGTGTGCGCTTGCGAAGAGGTAAGGTCCTCTTCTCATCGATACTTCAGGAACCTCATCGAAGCCGCAGAATGCAAAGTCCATTTATGCTCCCAGCGGCCTTGTACGGCGATGCAGGAACACCCCTTACATGTTGCCGCTAGCGCTATCGTGCCCCAATCCCAAGAGCTGGATCTCCAAGATCTAGCTGGAAGGGGACCTTGGGCGAGATGCGCCCTTTTAACTTGGTTTTTTGGCCTGCTGTGGTGCAGGTGTTGCCGGCAGGGAACGTGGAGGGTAACTCGTTCTCTTGGCCGGTGCTGTGGGTGGGTGCTATGCTATCGTTCGAGGAGAGGTTCTCTCCCGGAAGATCGGAGCTCCCTGCCTCGACATGACGAGTCCGAAACGGAGTCGGAGGCGGATTGTGAAACTGCATGCCAAGCGGACCAAATAGCCATGGCTCTACCTGGGAAAGACCTGCAGCCCTTGGCGAGCGAGCCTTGTAGGGACGTTGCTCGGGGCAACCCGGAGGTTCTACTAAAGGCAGACGAGGCAGTGAGCTGCCAAGAAGGTCTCCTTGAATGCAATGGGGAAGGGAAAGCCTTCCACTCCTGCGACTACCACAGGGCTCTCTACAGGGGTTCCCAGAAGGGTAGAACTTGCTCTGTTGAAGGATGCCTCCATGCCCCTAGCCACAGTCGCGGGGGAGTTCGGCTCTGTAAGCTCCACGCTGCTAAGGACGAAAAGAAGCCTCGAACAGGAGCTAAGCGGGCTGGTCAGCCTCCTGCTCTGGACAGCTCCCTTCCACAGCCTCCCGATTCTCCTCACCCTCTTCTTCCCCGTACTCAGGGATTCAATGGGGAAAAGGAACCCGAACCGGCGTGTCCCTTTGCCCCTAAGAAGACAGTTCTGTTGAAGGGGATCCTGCAAAGGATTATGGCACAGGAAAGCCCTGTGGATGCCTGCCGGGGCACCTTTATGGATTGTTTTTCCCGCTTGCCAAACGAAGTTGAGTTTCAGGAAGTTATGGGACTGACCAAGGCGTCTGCAGAAGAATATCTGGCACAGGTAGCCGCCGGTGACCAGCCCCTTGTGGTGGATGCTCTTCAGACTCTGGTGGCGTACCCGGAGGGCGACAACTACTCACGAGACGAGGTGATGGCTATGTTAAGACCCGGAACGCCCGTTAGCGCAGACGCCCTCGGAAACGAGGTTCTACCTCCTTTGCCGCCTACTCCCTCCCTGCTTGAGGACTTGAGGGGAAATTCCACCCCCTCCGGTTCAAGGATCACCGGCCCCGTCCGCTTTGCCCCCGAATTGACCGGAAGGAGAGTCGCACCACCGACGATGACTCAAGTACCGGAGACGAGACCCTTCTCAATGGCGGGGACACTCTTCCCGCACCTTCCCAAGAATTGCCTTTGGCTCAGAGCCTGATGCGGAAAAAGGGACCCAGTGCGGCCAGTCCGATGCACCTGAGTCAGGTCCCTACGCCAGAATGGTTTAGGGCAGGGGCCTACACGAACCCTGTTTCCGGACACCCGGATGACACCACACGAGCCCTTCAAGCCATTGCGAAGGCGGTAGGAGCCAAGGACGAAGCGTCCGCCCAGGAAAGGGGCAAACTCTCGTCAATAGGAAGAACAGAGGAACGTGCCCTGTTCTTAGCTCGCGGCTGCGACTCCCTGTCGGTTCCTCTTGGAGAAGCAACTGTCGGAAAGGAACTATTCCACGCCCTCCGGAACACGGCGACGCAAGATAGGCCCCTTCTTCGCTCTCTCAAGTTTCCCATCAACATCACCAACAGGTTTGCTTTCGGGGTGTGTAGCCTTTGCATCGGGGGAAAGGGCAGCCTGCCCGATTATGCCCTGTGCGTCGGTGATTTCCCTGCGACCTCAGAGGAGGATTTCGACTTTTACTCCACTTCCTTCCACGCTGACGCTGTGGTTCCGCAACGCCCTCAGACAGGCCTGGTCCCTGGCATGTGTGCTTGGGATTGAACACTATTCCTCCTGGGAAAAAGCGGCAGGTCAACTCCTCAAGTACGGAGAGGAACAATCTCACATGTGGCCTATGCACCTGGTCCTTTCCGTTTGGGAGGAACTCTGGGGTCGCTTCTGCGAAGAGATCCGTGACCTGGAACGTAAGGCGCGACGTGAGATGACGTTCGATCTCGATGACTCCCTGGAATATTTCCAAACGGATGTCTTACCGAGGCAGAGACGGGCTCTAGACCGGGCTTGTTGGAATTTGGCTCTCCGTAAGCAACCTCCCCTTCTAGGAGGAAAGGCCGGGGAGGACACATCCAGCGCCCCGGGCATACCGGGGGCCGCTTCGGCCCCGGGCCCGAAGGTGGGAGCCTCCCCTGACCCTTTAATAGGGAAACCCTTGAGTGGCAAAGAGGTTCAAAGGTCCATGGACCATAGACCTAAATGCTCCAAGACGGGAAAGTACCTTTGCTGGGACCATATTTCCAGGAGAGGATGCAAGGCTGCTTCCTGCCCCCACTCTCATGAAGGCGGTACCCCCGCTTGGCAGTCGTTGGATTGGTCCATTAAGATGCAACTTCTCCGGAGGGGCGGGCATCCTCAACAACCTAAGCCTAGCCACGCGGGAGATGTCGACAAGCAAATTTCGGCCATCAGGAAAGAGCAGGCCGACAAGCTGGCGGCATCGGTCGCCGAGGGAAAGGCGCGAGCAAAGAACAAGCCCAAGTCGAAGTCTCAGCCCTCCCCGAAGGTAGGCTCCCATGGCGATGACGCCAACAAGGAAGACACCCGAGCCGGCTGGGCCAAGCCTCCGCCCGAGCTCGGCAATTTCTGCGCTACGGACATGGAAGCTGGCCTTGACGCCGTCATGAAGGGACAAGGACCGGACTGGACAGCCGACCATGGCCCTAAGCCTTTAAAACACGTCGGGCTCCAAAGCCACACTCCAGAAACCATGGAGCGCAACCGCCTCATGCAAGAGGTGGAGAAGTCAGAGCTTGTGCCCCAGGAGGCGACACTGTTGGGTACATACCTGCGGAATCGCCTTCTCCATGCCCCGCACAGGCCGCCGCAGGCCCAAGATGTTCAACAGGCCTTGGATGACGCTCTCGCAAAAGGCTGCCCCGAATTGGTGGTGGAAGTAGAGGAGTACCTGGCTAAAGTGGGCGATTCCAGCGCGCGCCGCGCACAGCTAACCCCCACTGTTTGGTCTCAGGGCCAGGATCGGCCTGGCTCCGCCACGCTTACCTGGGGGGACCATGCGTGGGAGGTGTTTGACTACGGCGATACGCTGCAGCTCTCCGCGGAACTTAAACTATCCCTACAGCCGTCTTCGCAACCCCATTCGGACTGGGAGCCACGCCAGTGCCTCGTGCTGCATATCGCCGCCGCGCTGTTGTGGAGTCGCTCCAAACAACTCCCATCCTGGTCCGAGGTGCAGACGCTCGCAAGCCGTATGCGGGGCGAGTTTTACGTTGAGGCCGACAAAGTTTCTGAGGCGCTGGGGGAGCTGCCGCCCTGGGTCACGCGAGCCGAAAGAGACTTGCGGGTTTTTGTCCACGATTTCGTCTATTTTGGACATGACAAGGACTATCGCAGCCTGGCCGCTCTCCCCCCAGAGGAACTCGCAGCAGTGGCGGTGCATGTCGTGCGCCTTGACGCCTGGAAACGTCCCACTGTGGAAGCGCTGACCGGTTGTACCGCTGACACCAGACGTCCGCTCGTCGTCTGGCTGCTTGTGTATGACGGCCATATGCGTCTTTTGGTACCTACGTCGAGGACCGTTCCGGCCCCGGCGCGTTCTATCGGGATGCATGGGTGGGAGGTCCATCTGGAGGCAGCCGCCGCCTCGGGCGCTCAGCTGGTTGCTCCAGCTAAATGTCCTCGGTGCGAGGTCAGCGAGCTCCGGCGCACTGGGGTTGCAAACAGTGTGCTCGGCCTTTACCGCTCGCTTTCTCGGATCCTCAGCGTACCGGGAAGTTGCTTGGGAGCCTGACTCTCCTAACCCCCCCCATTTCTCGCGTGCGGATCTGGAGGCATTCTTTGCCGGCCAAGAGATGCCACCGGCAGGACATGTCCGTCGGCCTAGACCATGGCCATGACCTTCGACGCGCGCGCGATAGGGCCATTGTTCGCTACGCTCTGGACATCCTGTCCCCCCTGCACGTTCTGCTCTCTTTCCCCTGTCGCGCCTTCTGCGCTTGGGCGCGTCTTAACGCTACCCGCTCCGTAGGACACTCGGCCACCCTTATAGAGGGCCGTCGTCACCTGGCGTTTGCCATGTCGGTGGGACGGGCACAGCTGCAGGCGGGGCGACACGTTACTGCAAAGAACCCCTTGACGAGCTCTGCCTGGCGGGAGCCCGAGGCTATTTCCGCTTTGGAAGGCATGCATCGGGTCCGGTTGGACCAGTGCGCAGAGGGTCTCCGGGGCCCGGACGGCCCCCACCTCAAGCCCGTTCTCCTGCGTACATCTTCGGCCTGCGTCGCTGCGGCTTTCTCGTTGCGGCGCGAGGGTGATCACGCGAGTCAGCCGGTGGCAGGCTCGGCCTTGGGGCCCAGCGCCGTGTACCCCGGCATGATGGCATCCCTTCTGGCTGCGGCCGTCTTGGAGGATGGCGGAGGCAAGGGAAGGGGGGGGGGAGGGGCTGCGTTTTCGCGCTGCAAAATAGGGCTCGAGGACCGCTTCGGTCCCAAGCTTGAGGGGGAATTTGGTCATCAAGGGCATGCTCCCCCCAGTGATAGTCCGCCTCGGGACCTAGGAAGTACCAAGGTAGGACGAAGCTCTGAGCCGAGCCCGTACTGTTTGCAACATGGCCCGTTGGCCCCTGACCTAGATCCTCAAGTAAGGGAGGCCGCCCAGTCATACCTCTCCTGCGTGGAAGGGGTAGAGTTCAGCAAAGAGGCTCTGAGCAAGGCCGCTGCGACCGGTACGCAACTCCTCAAAGCCTCAGGAGGCTGGCAGGAGGCAATTCGGGCCATTAAGCGCCTCTACGTTGAAAAACATGGGGACCACTTCGAGTCTCTACATGCGGGTCGCCTTGATGGCCTGGTACCCCAGGCAATATTGCAAAGGGCCAAGGATGTCGCCCTGTGGGGGGTTGATGCCTGCGTCAATCTCCAGCAAAGTAAAAGAGTGAAGTGTGCGCCCCACCCCAGCCTAAAGGCCCACTTGGACGAGGCTGCGCAACAGCTGTGGAAGGACGCCACCAAGGGAAGAGTACTCATTTGCGACGACGAAGAAGGCTCCGTCCCCATGGCAAGGGTACCGAAGATGCTGCCAGATCGCACGGTGTCGGAAAGTGGTCGGGTTGTTTGGGACGCCACTCCTGTGAACCAATTCTGTGGAAAGGAGGACTATCCACCGGCACTCCAACCCCGACACAACGAAGTCGCAAGAGCCATCCTGTGGTGGAAGCTTCGACTCCCTGGCGTGCCCATCCTCCTGTCGAAAAAGGATGTATCCGACGCCTTCAAGTGGGTCCCGGTCAGACTCGAAGACTCCAAATTCTTCGCGTCTGATTTGCCCGGGTCCTACACGGAAAGGAGCTGCGACACTACGCTGGTCTATGGGTTTATGACCTTCGGTTGGAGGGGTGCACCCGGGGAGTACATGGGGTTCGCGTGGGTACTGAAATTGGCCCACGGGGCCCATGGGCCGAGCGACACCCATTGGGAGCTTCCGTCCGTGGCTTTCCACTCGTTCGTTTTGATGGATGACACGGTTCTCATAGAGCCCGACATAGGTTTGAGGCCGTGGGTATCGGTCGAAACTTCCGAGCATGTCACGCGCGCCACCTTGGGGCCTAAATCCATCAACCCTGAAAAGGACAAAGTCGAAGGAGCCTTGGAGACTCGAAAGCTGATCTGGGGGCTGATCTATGACACGGAAACGTGCACCCGCAGCCTCCCCGCGGCAAAAATCGAGAAAGCCTTCTACCTGCTCCATCTGCCTGAGTTCGACACAGGAAACACCCAAGTCCCGCTTAAGTTGGTGCAAGAACTCAGGGGAAACCAGCAATACTGGCTGGCGGTGTTTCCGGGGCTAGCCCCGTACCTCGGAGCTACCAATGACTTGCTAGGGCCACCGGATGAGAAGGGAATGGCGGTTCCTCGAGGGGACAACCTGGAGGCTGTCTGGGCCCGATTCTGGGAGGCTATTGAGTTGCAACGGCTACTCATTGACAACCAAGGGGTGTGGGAAACAAGGTTCACCCACTCACTGGTCGGGTCACTTTCCCTCTCAGAGTATCTCACCTTCCCCGGGCTCCAGGATTCTGTGGTGTGGGCATCGGGAGACGCCACCACCGAGGCCATTGGAGCGGTGGACTGGACGTCCCGCATCGCAGTGGTGGAAAGCGTCAAGGACCTTTGGAACCCTCTGAAGGCTTTCCTGGATGAATCCTCCGGAAGACCCGAGGGGCGCTTCGCCGCCGGGGAAGAAGAGGAAGAGGAGGTTATCATTTCTATTGCAGAGCTGTTAGCAGTCCTCGGCCTTGTCGCTGCGCGTTGGAAAGCCTGGAAAGGCAAAGTTGTCATTTACGCAGGAGACAACCAGAATGTCATCAGCTGGTTGGCGTCTCGCAGCGCCAGACCGCCAGCGGCGCGATACCTGCTACAAGTTTTGGCGGCAGCAGAGTCAACTGGACACTTCCGACTGTACGCCGAATATATACGCACATACCATAACACCGTGGCGGATGACCTGACGCGCAGAGATCCCCAGGAAGTCTTGAGCGAGCACCATCTGACCGCAGCGCCAATGGCGGGTCAACTCCAGGAATTGCTAATTCAGGGTGGGTACGACGCGCCCTGCTTTGGAGCACCATGGAAGACTCCGACAAAGGAGCCGCCCTGCAACTGTGTCTCCAAAGGAGGCCACCCGGCCCTAGGGACTACCGCCTGGACCAACCTCTTGGCTTGCGGGTTTTTGAGTTGGCTTCTGGGCCTCCGGTGTACCTGCGAGAAGCAACCAAGGCAGGAGGAGAGGGGCACCATGCTCAACTACTGGATCCCTCCTGGTCGGGACCCACCGCTCCCAACGAGAGCACCCAGGACTGCGACGTCATCTGCGGGACATTGGGAAAAGGTAAGGGCTCAATCCAGGATTTTGCCGCTAGGGTTTCCGAGTCCTCATCACAACTCCTAGTTGTAGATTCACTCACCAGCCCGGGACTCAAGGCTCTCCAAGGAACTCTGGGACCTAAGTGGGACTCGAGGCTGGACTTATTGAGTGGTAGGAGTTTTGAAGATCAAGTATGGTGGCGTAGGTGGGTTTTGGTAGCTCGCAAAATTTCGGGAAAAAACCAGACCCCTCTGCTTAACCTGACCCACCCTATCGACGAAGAGCCCGTAACACTGCCCCTGCAGCGATACGACCTTCATTGGAAGGTGCAGGACTCGAAAGCGCCGCCGGAAGCCTGGCTCAAGGGTGAACTCAAGTTAGATAGGTCACTTCCCTACCTCAAGAGTGCTACCCCTAAACCCGTAGGCCACCTGAAAGCCCCCAACGGTTCTCGTCAACGCCTTGTGTGGGACCCTAGCCGACCCCTTCCTGCTCTGCACCATAATTCCTGGAACCCCCTCTCCGACGACTCCCTTGTCCTTCTAGGCGCTAACGAGAACGGAGTAGGGACCCGAGCCCTGTTACCCCAAGAAGCTGTTAGGTTACTTGGAGGTAGGACCGAGTTACTCCCCAAGCTGCCTCCTGAAGAGCTCGCCAGCCACCTCCTTTTCTCGACTCCCCCCCTTCTGGCCGCGGCAGCAGTTGCGTGGCTCAAACAAGAAGAAGCGGAGCAAACCTGCACGCCCTTGACGCGGGAGGGACCCGAGGATCGTTTCGATCCCGGGGACGCCGCCCGCTGTCGATCGGGCGTGTGCAACCTGCCTTGGGAAGAGCACACCAAGCAAGCTCTCATGTCCTGGCTGGAGCAAAGAGGATATGGAAGCTGGCGCGAGTCCGAGGGTAGAGTGGGCGGAAGCGGAGCCCCGAACCCCAAGGGTAAGGTCAAGGGAAAGAAAGGCAAGGGCAAGGGGAAGGGAAAGTCTCCCCGGGCCCAGATTGACCATGCCGTTACCCGCATTTTGCGGCACGAAGGGGCGTGGGAAGGCCCGGAGCAGCTGCTTTCCGAAGAGGGCTGGCTCCCAGTGAACGCCCTCCTCGACTTACTGGCCAAGGAGCCCGCCGGGTCACAAGTCGACTTGGGGCTCCCCTTCTTGCAGGAGCTCGAGGCGGCCAATAGCAAGAAGAGGTTCATCTTAAGGCAAGATGAGGCCACCGGCACCTGGCACGCGGCCGCCTGGTCTGGGCATACCCTTCCAGGGGTCGTAGGCCCGGGAGTTCCTCAAGAACCCCCGGACACCCTCCTGCATGGCACATACAAAGCGAGGGTGCCCTCCATCCAGCTCTCTGGATTGCTTCCCTTCCGACGAGCTATTCACTTTCAGGATCCGAAATCAACCAGCGGACGCTGGAGATCAGATTTAGAAGTGGCGTGCAAAGTGAATATGGCCAAGGCCATTCAGGAGGGATGCACCTTCAGGTTGACTGGAAACAGCATCTGGCTCACAAGCAGTTCCCCCAAGCTGCATTGAAGCTTATGCTCCATGGACCCTCAACTCTAAAGGTCGATCCGGATGGGCCGCTTCGGCGGAACTCGTTTCCGACAAAGCTCCCCAGTTCCGGGGGCAGGGGCTCTCCTCTCAGCCCTCCACCGGGGAAGCCGAGGGGCGTTTCGCCCCCAACCCCCGAAGGGGTAAAGAGGAAGCGACGGAACCAGCCAAGCTCGACCTGGCGCGATACCGAGGAGGCGGGGCCCAACCGCTTTGGACCGCACCCGGACAGGGACCAAAAGGGCATCCTCGAGGACGTCGTCGAGGTGGCTTGCGCCATTGGAGCAGCCGCACCTCCCGAAGGGGTCGAGGTCGACTTACAGACCTTAGAGCTCCAGGCTCTCCCCGCGCAACCCGAGGAGGAAGAGCTGGGGAGGCTCCTCTT